TTATATATAAAATTTAATCAATATTTAATACATCTTACAAAATTAAATTTAGTTAAATTCTCCATACAATTGGTTGTAACTTTTTCAGTTGTACTTTTTTATTTATTTATTTTACACTTTTAAATTAATGAAACTCTCCAAAAATACCAAATCAAATGATTTATGAAAGTTTTTTTTTTCTTTTTACAATTTTAAATCTATATACCCAGCTTAAAAAACTCATCGCATAGATATGCGAGTTTAAGAAAATTTCTATTTAAGAAAATTTCAAAACCCAGCTTATAAAATTCCAACTCCAAGAGTTAAAAAAATCATATTTCTCATCTATTGTAACAACTTTAAAGGTAAATAAATAAAAGTCTAATTACTACTATAAATCCATTATCTATATAGATTTTTTAAAAATCTAAATTTCACCTGTCTAATTACTAATATTTTAGATACTTTTAAATGTTATTTGTATAAATTTTTTTACACATTTGCTCTCTCTCTATATATACATATATGGAGGTTAAATGAAGAATTTTTTGACATATTTTCCTTACGGGTAGTTTAGAAAAATTTAGGTAGCTTCAAACATTATTTGTGAATAATATAGAATATTTTAGATGCTTTTATAGGTGTTATAAAATATTTTAAGTATTTTTAATATTTATATATCACACTTAAAAAGAATATTTTGCCAAAAAAACATTAAATACACATTGTAAATGTTAATAGAAACAGTCTTTAGTATTCGTCTTTGATTTTGTCAAAACAAATCTCATAAAATCGGTGAAGTCAAAATTTGTACGTGAAGTCTATCTATACTAAAAAACGGTAGATTCAAAATTATTTATCTAATTCCTTCTTATTATCTAATTGTATAAAAATCTGTTCTGATTTTGTTCAATCCTCTAATTGTATTTGTATTATATCCCATAAAATCGGTTTAACAAAAAAAATCCCATAACATCCGATAAGTAAAAAAAAATACGTAAAATCTTACTAAAATAAAAAAGACTTTATTTATTATCTAATTTATTATCTAATTGTATGGAAATCTATTCTGATTTTTATAGTACGTACTACAAATTGTGCACCCGTGTTCAGGAGCTATTTAACGGGCAAACTCTGTGGAATTAACTCATTTAGTGCTTTTGTCCCATGCATACGGTATGTATTTGTATTACACATACTAGAAAATTGTGCACCTCGTGCATCGCACGGACTCTGTACTAATAAATGACCTTAAAATTGTGCACCACGTGCATCACCCGTGTTCACATTTTGGCCTATTACAGGTCACGTACTATATATATCCCGTACATTTTTCTTTATTCATTTATATAATTATAAGACTTGATAAATGACCTTAATTTTGTGCACCTCGTGCATCGCACGAGATCTGTACTAGTTCTATTAAATGGATGAATTTTTATATAAGTATAGATATAAAATTATTTCTTTATGATAATTAATAGAATGAAAATATTACAAACATATTAATTAATATGCAATATATGTCGATCCAACACTGACTATTCGCGTCATTGGATCAACTTTCTAAAATCATAAAATTAATATATATTTTTCAAATTTATTATATTTATTCTGTTATAAATATAAGAATAAAAAATAATTTATTTTTATTTAATCCTATAACTTAGAATGATATTCATTTTGTTTGTATGTATAAAATGAGAGTGTGATTTTATTTTAATGTACATTCTTCACCATACACCAATTGTTTATGATATTTAACAATTTATGATTAATATATGAGAAGCACATTGATTAATGTATAAAAACTCTCGGCTTGTTATTGAATGTTGACGATATTTGCGTCATCGGA